CTTCCTCCTCACTCCTCCCGCCCTCTTCCCCTCGCCGCGGCCCCGCCCCGCCCTCGCTCCCTCTCCCGCTCCCCCGCCCGCCTCCACGCGGGCGCTGAGCACATGGCCCGGCTGACGTCAGCGGGGCTCCCCGCCCGCGAGGGGGCGGGAGGACGGGCGCGCGTGCGCGGGGGAGGGCGGCCGCGGCGTTCCCTTCTCCGCCCCCCCCCTTTTCCCGTTCGGCCGCCCCGCGGAGCCCCGCCATCTGCGCCGTCTCCGCAGCTCGGTTTTCAGACCCGGTGCCCGGGCCCGCGTTACAGCCTGGCGCTCTTAGTGCCCCCGCGGGTGAGAAGGGCGTGGAGCCGCCCCGGCGCCTCCAGCCCGCCCGCAGTGCCTGGGCGGGAACCCGGATTTAGCCCGAGAATCTGTCGCTCGTGATGGGGTGGGGAGTCCCCTGGGCGTGGCTCCTTGCACGCGGCGGCGCGCCGGTGAGGCCCCACCCCGTTTTACCCCCAAAGGGTTAAGAGCCTTCCAGTGAGCGCATTGAGGTGCCACGACTCAATTTTGGGGGTTAATCCTGGAGGCTGTGGAAATGTCTGAGTAACCAGTCCTCGGGTCGCCGAACCTTCAAAAATTAGGCTCTCCTCATGCCTGGGATTTTAAAAACCCCTTTTCAAGGGGCCCTCCTGTCTGTGTGGACCTCCCCTCTTTGGACATTGGCTTCCCTCTGCAGTACGGGGTGGGGGGCGCCCTCCAGATAAGACAGTTGCCATGACGGCCCCGTGTTTCGGTTTCCTTGGAAACCGGCCGAGGGTTCCGCGTGCCGGAAAGGAGGCTGTGGGGGTGGGGCGCGCGGCCACGCTCGGCTGCCGCGGAGACGGAGTCCGAATGGAGCCGTTGGGGAGTGGGAGGGACTTAGGGCTCCCTGCCTGGCGGGGGCGGGGGCAGCTTGCGGTCCCCCTATCGGCGCGCTTCGACAGCTGGGGGGTCGGGCAGCATTAAGGTTCCTGTGGGAAGGGTAGCAAAGAGGATCTGACCGAGCTTTGAGCCGGGGCCGGGCGCCACCCCTCCCCCGGCCAGTACTGCGGGGTCACAGCCCTGAGGTAACCGGAGCCTGACTTGTTCAGGGGGCGGAGGCGCTGCTTCGCGACTGCTCCCAGCCGTCTGCTCCCTCCCAAGCTCCCGCGAACGCGCGCCCTTCCGCCCGCCCTGCGGGTGAGGGGGAGGGGCTGGCGCGCCTCCAGGCCGCTTCCCGGCACCCTGGAGGGGAGGGGTCGGGCTCGAAGATTGGTGGAAACGGGGTGGGGGCGGGGCTTCCGTGCTCCGAGGGGAGGGTGCAGCCGGCAGGGAGTGACGCTGCAAGGCCGGGTCCGCGTGGGTGCGCGCGTGCTCTGGGAGGGGCGGGGCCTCGCTGTTGGCCTGACTGGCTTAGAAAGAGGAGAGGCCCGAGGGGGTCGGCTTCGGAGGGTCTCCAGGAGGCCTACTTCTGACATATTTTTGCAGAACTTGGGCTTGAGAATGTTCCCGGTCCTTCAGTCATAGGCAATTATGTGTCCTGGAAGCAAATCCTTGTCCAAATGCTGTGACGTTTTTTATGACTCTCAGTTTCTTTTGTACTGCCATTTTGCTAAATGGGAAGAAATAGTAGCATCTTCATCATAGGAATGTTCAGATTGGTCCTCTATAAACACCAACTTAATAATTCTTGAGAAGTAGAAAGAATAGGATGGCACATTCCACTTTATAGACACATACTTAGGAAAGCCTTGCTTGCAATGATACCTGGATTTGAAAATAAATCAGAAATAGAGACTTAGTAGAACCAGCAGACATGAGCCTGGGCTGAGGAGGCAGCGAGGTGTGAGGTGTACCCAGGCTGTTCATAAGAGAAATTTGTCCTGGGGCTGGTAATGGAAGCAGAAACAAAAGTTACAAGGCTATCTCAATCCTCAGTCTCATTCGTTTATTCACTCAGGTACTTTGGACAGCTCTGTGTCTGATTCTGAGGATGAAGCAGGGACCAAAGAAATAAGCGTGGGTCTGTCTTCATAGGTTTGGTCTTGGTGGCAGATTATAAATACTGTGCCATGAGAATGTAATAGGGACAGGGATCAGAGGATCTGTTTTGAGGAGTGCCGGAGGTTGTTGCTGAGGAAGGGGCATCTGAACTGAGACCTGAAGGTTCCAGGGTGACCTGGGCAAAGCAGAGGGCAGAAAGCCCAGCTCAGGCTGAAATTTCTCCAGCAAGAGGGAGCAGGATTCAGTTTTGGAACTTAAAGGTGGCCGTGGGGGTTACCACGTGGAGAGTAGAGATGGGCCAGGGGCTGGGGGGGGGGGGGGGGGGGGGGCAGCAGGGCACTAGATAGGAGTCAAAATGGAATAGTAGAGAGACCAATAAGGTGTGTAGACTGAAAGCATTCGTTGTTTGCTGAGGGGGGAAGGCTGTAGCTCCCAGCCAGACTCAGAGTGGCGTGGAAGATTTTAAGAAAGCCACAGTGAGGTGGACAAAAACAGGAAGAGGAATAGGCAGGTACCAAACTATGCATCCAAGCAGTTTTAGGAAGTATGTTTAAAATGAAGCAATGTGGACAAAAGCTGGACCCTGGAGAAACTTTCCGGGGGCCTCTAGGCCTGTGGATAACTGAGCTGGGTAAGAAAAAGAGGTTTTGGCCTCTGAGTTTCTCCCTAAGTCAGAAATCTACTCTTCCTGCTGGTAGGTAGAGTTCAGGACACCACTTCCAGCCCCCAGCAGCCAGGTTCAAGTGAGAGCTGACTCACCACAGGCCCCATCATTGATATGGCCTCATCTGATGTCATGTCCAGCACTGGCCTCTCAGGGTAGAGCCAGGTGAGAAGCCAGCTGTGTGTGTGTGTGTGTGTGTGTGAGGGAGGGATCTTTCTGGCAGAAATATAGAGGGAAACAGGTTAAATCTCAAAACCAGGATAGAGAAGGCTGTGTGTGGCCTGGGACTGCTAGCAGAATTGTAAAACTACCAGGTTTCAGGCCAGAACATTGCATGGTTGTGTCTGGGTTATGTGTTGGCAGGTACTAGTGGTTTGAGGCATTTCTTACTGGTGAGGTCAGAAACACAGGAGTTTGGGGCTGCACGAGGAAGCGTAGGGAAATTGGGCCTAGTTTAGTGGGCGAACTTGAAGACATTGCCATGCCCAAGAGGGACAAGTGAACAGTCAGGAAGGCTGCTATAAAACTGCTTGTAGAAATAGAGTCAGGGGAAACTTATGTCTAATGTGACTGTGATTCTGTGATACAGCAGAGAGACAGGATAGAGGTGGGAACCAACATGCTCACATCCTCACAGATCCTTCCCCTGGAGCTAAGATGTGCATAATTCTGTCCTGGACACTGGTTGGGTCAGGGGATAAAGCTGATAATAAAACAGTCCTTGCCTTTACTCACAGCGTTGGACAAGGAACAGTGTGTATGGAGGTAGAAGGACAAAATACGAAGCTTTTAGGGATAATATGAGCTAGTGTCTGATTAAGTACTACCCGACAGTCTTATTAAATGCTCAAGAGTGTTGTGCGGTGCCAAGAAGGGCTCAAGGTCAAGAAGATGCACTGGTCAGGGCATGAGATGGGATGGGTGGTGGGAGTCGGATGTGGTCTCGGAGCACAAGCACATATGATGTAGAGGGATGAGAAGGGACCATCTGTGTGTGAGACCGGGTTCAGAGAGGAAAACTAAGACAAGCTGGATAGTTTGGTGTAGGAAGAGTCGGTGGGTTCTGTACCTGGCCGTAACCGGCCAGCCTTAGAAGCCAGGAGCTCAGGAATAGTTCAGGTTAAGAGACTCAGGATGCAGCAGGGCAAAAGTATCCATGTTTGGTGGACCCAGCACTCCTGACATGTCTGGGCCAAAGAGAAACTGGCAACAGGGAGGTCTCCAAGACTTAGAGGAGTCAGTTTTAATAAAGTGTCAGCTTCAGGAGGTCATGGAGGATAGGAGCTGAGGCATAGGACACAAGCTGGCCTTTTGGGGATATAAAACACTTTTTTTTTTTTTTTTTT